CTTTTTAAATTGTATTAGTACAGTAATTTTCGTTTTATGTACCAAACCTAATGACATATCTTTATAAAGAGACAATGTAAATGTTTATGTAATTAACAAAAAAATTAAAAATATTAATTTCGGCCAATCTATGAAAGTCAATGCATGCATATAACGAAAAAACTTTAACAACCCTTAAAAATGATAATAAATGAAAAATAACACCCATAGAAAAGAGAATAACTTGTTTGTGAGATTTTAGTGCATTAAAATCATAAATTAATAATACTCTAGTACTTAAAACTCCTGAAACGGGTCAAACTTGAGCCGCCGAATGACCCTTCTCCACCGCTATGATTGCGCAAGATATTTTCATTTATTGTAATGGTCAACCCACTAAAATCATTCTCTTCTTCCACCATAGTAGCAGCAGACGATAGTAAGGGGACATAATACCCCACTGTCGACGCCGGCGGAGGGGATGGTGCGGTGAGTGGCACCGCCCATTGGTCTCGGCTGATGAATTCGGTGACGTAATCCTGGATAGTCTCCTTGGCGTTGTCAGTAATTTTGGCGTGGGCGGGGAGGACGCGCCGCATGATGCGGCTATCGGCATGTACTGATGTACGTCTCTTTAGAAGCCTGGTTGCTGCTCTTAGTTCGCATCTCCGCCGATAGCATTCAGTGCGGCGACCGAGATGTTGGTGCATTGGTGGCGGCGGCAGCAGGGGCAAAGCCCCTTTCTCGGATGACAATGCCTGAAAGAATACATGTGAAAACAATATAGTGTTGGTTTTATCATGTGAATACATGCGACTTATGATTGGTGTGGGCAAATTGCATAAATAAAAATCGATATTTATCAAAAATATATAAGTGGAACAAACTAAAAACTTGAATTTATTCAAAAAACATGTATAATTAGATTGACTAGCTAGTTTTCATTTTCATTGTTTGTCTTGTTTTATCATATACAAAAATCTTTTTGTCTAATAGCGAAGAAATTGTGTAAAAAGTACGAGAAGTTCACTCTTATTGCACCAATTTCACACTGTATATTTAGATACATTTTATACTGCTACATTTCGTGTTTTATTTTATTTAATACAACTCTATATAAGAAAATATTGATAATGTCATTAATTAATATATATATATATATATATATATATATATATATGGTGCGTATCGATAATAAAATATGAGGTACTTGAATGAAATAAAGATGCATCCAATAAAATCATGATTATATCGACTTAGATTTCCGCTTTTCATCATAACCAATTCGTCCCTATTAAGAACCTTCTCTGACTTGATTCATATGGAATGTGATTTTGTTTGTAATAAAATAAAGAGTAGCCCTTAATTGTTGAAAATTTGTCGATTGAATTAGATTAAAGTAAGAATTTTTTGGTGATTAAGATATATATACATATATAGAAAAAAATAAATTAAGAGGAGACACGGAAAATTGAAATCCAATTAGTACATGACCGAAATCCGTTAATATTAACGTGTTTTCTATGGTCAACCAATTTTTCTTTGGATTACCATACAAATTAAAATTAATTAAGATGGTCAAACGTAAAAGAAATCAAGTTGAATATATACGAAAGGGGAAAAAGTTGCTCCTGATCCAATTAACACAAGGAGATCCATGAAGCATAAAAAAATACTTGTCAACTTAAATTGCACCAAACTCGTTAATAGAAGATCGATTGCCCAAAAACCAAATCTAGGGAACTAACACATGTTTTTTTACTTCCGCATCTGAGATATGTGAAAAAAAACCAAAAAAAATTCTTGTGTATTTATGTTGTATATTTGAGCCTCCTCCTTTTTCCATTTTCAGTTTTTATTCTTTATTCAAACTCTTTGTTTTTTGTCGTCTTGTCTCTTTTGTTCACACAGATGTAACACAATATTCTTATGTCTCTTACTCTTATGTGTGTGACGAGTAAACAGAACAATTGCATTCAATATATAGACAAGCGTTGGACCTTTAAAATGAGTCCATAATGGTAGTAATAGGATGATGAAAATTAAAGACTAAATGGGCAAAAAATATTAATTGTTGTTCTATAATGAAAAAAATGACCTATTTCTCTTCCCTCACGTGAGTAAAATATTTTAAGGAATTGCTTGCTTCAATGAGTAACTGAATTGTTGAAGAGTACCATAAAATTTACTAAGGACTATGATTGAGTTTATTTAAATATGAATATTAGTTTGACTTTTCTAATATTAGACTTTATTTATATAAATTAATATGAAATACGATAAGTCGATAACTATATTTCAAAACGTTTTCACAAATTTAGTCCAAATCCTTTTAATTTATTACATATATACGAGTGACCTTTAAGTATTTATCTTTACTAATACAATGGAATTTATCTCCAGTTGGATGCTATCATTTACTCTTTGCTCAAATGCTAATATATGAATTATTCAAAAAATCATTCAAGTCTAATTACAACAATTATTTAATATGTTATGAAATTGAATTGTTGAATTCTTATATTAATAAGATTTTCAAATCTTATAAAGTAGGGTTCTTAAGATTCTAAGTCTCTGGTGACAAACCTTATTAAAACTAAATGACAAGTCTAATTAAAATTTGTTTCACATCTTTTATTAAATTCATTCCAAAAATGCCTCTCTACTCACAAATTCGAAATTACAGCAGAATGTAAATATACTATGATGAACTATGGTATTATTTAACATTTTAAGTTTGCATCTAGCATTTTTTTTTCCATATATACGTGGAACAAGTTTTTCATTTTTTTTTCCTTTCATTTTTCATATTTTTTCATTGTATAAAAATCTATTTTTTCCCCTTCTTTTCTACATAGATTGAAAATTATGATTTCTTTTTTCTTTTTTTTTTTTTTTTTTCTTTTTTTTCATTTTTTTATTATATAAAAATCTTTTTTTTCTCTCTTCTTTTCTACATAAATTGAAAATTATAATTTTTTTTAATTTTTTCGGTCGTAGACATCTATAGAAAACCGTAGAAACCGTAGTAATCCGTTGTAACCCACAGACATTTGAAACCCTAACTCCTCCTTTGAACCCTAGCCGTCAGACACCATAGACACCCATAGACACTCATAGACATCTGTAGACATCCAAATCGAAAAATCTTAAATTTTCCCCACCAAACCCTAGATTCGATCCGCCGCCACTACCACCACCACCGCCACTACTCCCTTCTCCCTCCCCCCCACCTAGACCCACCTCACGACTCATCCCTATTGTTGCAAAAAAACAACGAGCCTGCCATCCCCTGGCCAGCGTTACAGAGCCTCCAGATGCAACCCCTAAACCGAGGGCCGCCGCCGTAACCGTCATCGCCTACCATAACCGCCGTCACCATAGCCGTCGCCACCTACCATAACCACCGTCATAGCCTCCATATTATTCCACTATAATTGAAAATAAAAAATAAAGGAGGAGAGAGAGAGAGAGAGAGAGAGAGAGAGAGAGAGAGAGAGAGAGAGAGAGAGAGAGAGAGAGAGAGAGAGAGAGAGAGAGAGAGAGAGAGAGAGAGAGAGAGATTTCTTAAAGCCTTGGCGCCATGTAATATATCGTTATCAATTTTCTTCTACACAAGACCCTTTCTTCCCTTTCAATTTAATGTGATACAGAGATGGCAGAAAGTTATAATATATTCAGAAATGATGTTAAAAGAAGCAAATAAAAGTTTAATACAAAAATAAGAGTGGAAACAAAAATGAATATGCATAGAGTAGATATAGAAAGAGAAGTATGCAAATTTGTTTCCAAGAATTTAATCCTAAAAATAATAACATAGCATATATCTGTCCATGCATGCTGAGAAATTGATCAGTAGCAAAATGATCTTGTTACGAAAGTGAAACGACAACAGTCATTATGTTTCTCCGAAAATTCTCGGGGACAAAATAAATCACATGTTTTTAATCCAAATGCACAGTAATCAAATGAACTTTCTTTTTTAATTATTCTTCTTTGTCATTTGATTCTATTTTCCCAGCAGTAAGAGTCAGGAAAAATGAAAAAAGGCAAAATATACTTAATTATGATTAGGAGTGAAAGTCGGATGGATCGGATCGAAATTAGCCTTTTCGAAAAATTTCCAAAAACTTTTGAAAGTACAAAATCAATTCCAATATTTTCGGAATCTAAACATTCATTCCAATTCCAAAAGGTCCGGAAATATTTCGGAAATCACATAAATTTTAAAATTTCAAAACTTAGCGGAAATTTTCTGAAAATGTCAAAAATAAGAACATCCACGTTGATAAGAGTAAAACTAATAACCGCTAAATTTCAATTCCAAATAAGAAATAAAAATAAACCACATCATAATATCCCATAAAACTTCTAACACAATTCAATATGTCAAAATCCTAAAACAAAATTTAGATCAAATTACTTTTCACCCAAAAAAAACTTAAATTAAGTACTATATAATAAATATTATTTATAAGCGTATTTTTCGAAAAAACAATCGGATTTTTTCGGATTTGAAATTAAATCGGACCGGAAATTGAAAATTCCAATTTTTTTATATATAATTCCAATTTCAATCCGAAAAAATCGGAATTTCGGAAGTCGGAATAGAAAAAGTTGTTCCAAAATTGGAACTTTTTGGATCGAAACCGGCGGAAATTGGAATTTTCGTTCCATAATTATGATAATTCTATCATAAGGGAATGAAATCAGTGGCTCAGGTGGTCTTATCATAAGGATTGAAATTGAAGCACAACTTCAAAATTATATTTTATAGATAACCGCAAAATATTACAATTACTTGAGTTTCGACTCACTTTATTTTACGTATAATAACATGAACATTTGAAGAAACTGCAAACTCTTCTGGCGGACCGAAACGAAATTTCATTACATGCCCGACACCGTGTCAGAGCTTGTCCGTCTCCGATTGGCAGATTCTTACCAATCATTATACTATTTCCTTTAATGATTTAATCAAAAAAATGAAAGAAGGTTGATGTAAGTAAACTCAATGAAGACTAGTTCATCCAAATTACTTCAACTTGAAAGTTGGGACTAGCCAAGCTCTCAAAGTCTTTTATATTCCGTGCGACAACTCGAACTCGAAGGCCTACGTTGTCAAATTCTTCTTGTTCATCCAATATTCTTTTAGCATAAATGACAACTGTCTTGCTACAATATTGTACCCGAATCGATTGAAGCGTTGGTCTTTCTCCAATATCTGACGGGATCTCCTCCAACCTATCCAAGTGTCGGAGATCAAGTTGCTCAAGGGCGTGGAAAGTGGGCGCTCTCTGTCGTCCACCGTTCCAGGTCACTGCAGTCGCAGATTTGCACGAATTTAAGGTTGCAGAATTGCCCTTCAACCGTTTCCCACTCGGTTCCTACAAAGGAATTTGCCTTCAGTTTGAGGACTTGAAGATTGGGTAACAAACCTATCTTTGTCTTCATGTCTTCCCAGTATAGATTGGTCCTGTGCGAAGTCAACTTCTTGAGCGAATTCGGGAGGATGAAATTGCGCAAAACATCGTCCCGGTTCGGCCTATTCAAAGTAAAAATGAAGCAGCCAAATGATTCGAGTTTATGTAGACGGACAAGATTGTCGAGACAGTAACTTGAACATCCGTCAAATTGTTCATGCTAACATATTTGTAATTTATTGATATTGGGGATTCTCTTAACCACCTCTTCTCCACATTTGAAATTTCTTATTCTCGAGAGCGTCCGTATACGAGAGGAGGATCGGGCATTTCAAGTTGATTGAACTGAACATGCCTAAGTTGAGTCATCTTCCAAATTTCAGATGATGCAAAAGCATCTCTCTCCTTGACAATTAAAGTCTGTAGATTCCAAAGGAGGTTGATTGACGAAGGAAAATCGGCATTTTGATCCCTATCAGATGTGATAGCAATGAACCGCGAGTTAACCAGCTGAAAAACAGCTTCTAGGCTAAACACATGATCATTCAAATATTTATCAACCGCATTTAGCACCCTCAACAATCTAAAATAATTAAGTGACGGTAAAACTCCTTGGCGTCCGACAATCAAAGAACGAGCAAGTGGCATACATTCCAACGCGTGACGAGCTTGAGGGAGATAATCCTTCTCCGACGCGCTTTGATGAATAGTAATTCGACGCCGGGTATTTATAATGCCTTGTGGAATGTTAAGGTCATGCGGTCTTCTGACGTAGATGAACTTCTCTTTCTCGGCTTCCCTTAAGCATAGTTCCCTTACGAGATCGTGGATCTTGCAAAACTTTATTCCTCCATTCAACCCTCTTTGATGAACTAAAATGAGATTTCTGTCACAAAGGTCCTCCAAGTACTCTCTCGCAGCCGCTTCCAAGCTTTTGCCACTAATTGATTTCATAAATCCTTCACAAACCCATACTTTTACGAGCCAGGAGACACGTATGTTTTTGTCTTCAGGAAAAACTCCCATATACAGAAAACATGGCTTCAGATGTACCGGCAAATGGTTATAACTCAAATGCAATACTTTTAAGCAACGCTCATTCTCTTCTAAATGTACTCCCAATATTCTCTTGTGGGCTTGGACTTCGCAAGTAGTCCTCCAATCACGACTATTGACAAAGGAAGTCCTTTGCAATTTTTGGCAATCTTCTTTCTTATTTCTTCTAATTCAAGAGGACAATCTTCTTGTTTTTCAAAAATACTTTTCTGCAGTAGCTCCCAACTTTTATACTCGTTTAAGAAATCCATCACGAGGCCATGAGAGCCAATTAACTGAAAAACAACGTTCGACAGCCTAGTGGTTATCATTACTCTACTTCCTTAACCATTGTCCGGGAAGAAGATTTGCACTCTATCCCACACCTCAATACTCCAAATATCATCCATTACAATTAAATATATCCCTCCCCATAAACTTTTATGCACTCTTTCACTTAATTCACGTTCACTCTTCCCACTCAAGATTTCACGGCTCTCGTATTTGCTTACACAAAGAAGAATTTCGATAAGAATATCTTGCACATTATAATTTTGAGATATTGTAACCCAAGCACGAACATCAAAGTGATGCACAATGAGTGGCTTAGCATAAGCATTTCTAACAAGAGTAGTCTTACCGATGCCGCCCATGCCAACAATCAGGATTATGCGGAGATTAGATTGTTGTCCGGTGAGCTTATCCATTACTTCAATCAAGAGCTCATCAAAACCAACCATGGTTTCCTGCTTCGTTGTTAAAGGAAACCTTGACGAAGCAGCACCAGCAAGAGTAGAAGAATTTATGTGCAGATGATCTTCGATTATTCCAATATTATTATCTTTAATCTCCATCACATCTTTCTTGATTAAACCCATGTCTTGGATCACCTTATCGAGATCTCGGTACAAGTCGACGGAACTGATTTTTTCCAGGACATCTAAACCAGCTGCTACGATATCGACATTCTGCCTCGTTGAAGGAGATCTTAATGAACCTGTGTTGGCCGAAAACCTACAGGCAAGTGCACGTATCGTACAAGTAATATAGTGGACAATTAAGTCCGGACATCGAACCCACAGGGAATATTTAATTACTTAATCCTAGACGCTAAATTCTAGCAATTATTATCAAAGCCCACCCTACACAGCCGACTTTAGAGAGAATTAACTAAATTAAACTAAATTAAAAGGCAAGCAAAAACAAGAAAGCAATTTAAAACGAAGATTTAATCAAGATAAGTAAGCCTAGAATTTTATTCTTCCCCCTATGTGATTATTATTTCCCCCAATTCCTTCAATTATGCAAGCAATTAACCCGGATTATTAACCTGAGATGGTAAAATAATCGTAACCCGCTTCCGCGTGTATTACGATTCTAATACTCTAGATTCAATTACTATATTCCTATGCAATTAATTCTAGAACACAGCATTAAGCACAAATCTCAATAATGGCTACCTAAGAGATTAACTATGTTCATATGTTAATACCACAAAGGCTCTTCTACCACAGTTCTAATTATTAACCGATCTTCCGATTCATGCGATTAACAATAACATAAAAACGCATAAAGTGGCTAGTTTCATGAACTTAATAAAACAAGTAGAAGAAATAATCCAGAATTAAAACTTGCATAAAATCATAGAATTGAGTTCATAAATTCCACATAGGGTTCCAAATAAAATCCTAGAAATAAGAAAATTAACTACTCATGATTTAAGGAAAAACACAAATAAAATAAGTCATAAACGGTAAATCTATGCTTAGAGTCTTCGAATTCTTCGTCTTCGTTATTGCTTTGTTGCTCTCGAAATTGCGTAAAAAAAGATTCCCAATTGTGTGCTTGGCTTGGTCTTATATAGGGTGAAGAACTTGGGGAAGAAGACAGTTTCCTTGTGCAATTAAAATCCCATTACTGCGCTGCTTCGGAGTCTCGGACGGCCGTCCCATAAGTCGAACTAAAACTCGGACGGCCGTCCGAGCTTTAAATCTGCAGAATTTTGGTTTTTTCACTTTTGGCCCATATTTTCTCCAAAATTATAGTTTTGACCCCATACTTTTCCAATTCTTCAATTTGTACATAAAATACAATAAATCAACTTTTTAAGCACCAACTATCGTTAAAACACACCAAAAGCTCAAATAAAAAGGTACGATAAAGTGTAAAAATATACACTTAACACACCCCCAAACTTGAACTTTTGCTTGTCCTCAAGCAAAATATACCAATAAGCAAATAACTCAACTATTTCATCTCATCTCATAGATCAATGATCAACTTCACGTTTTCAGAACTTGTAATTATAATGACAATTCTTAGGCATTCGCAAGCTCAAAATTCAACAACACTTAGTAACTCACCATTACCAAAAACCACAATTCATACAATTGCTTGAAGCATCCAATATTTGCAAATTAAAGATAGAAAGAATTTATATTTACATGCATATGCTTGACTCCAAATACTCACCAAATTATTCTACTCTACTAATATCGAACATTAAGCTATATATTGGGATCATTGGGACTTTGTGGCTTTCAATTGTTAGGCTCTTTGGTTCGAGGTAGGAAATATGGGTATATGTGGCTATTCTTCTTGAATTTAGGTGATTACGCCAAAATTTGAAAGATAGGCGTTTGAAACAATGAATTCACCTCTACGGACTTTAATAAACTCGATTCTCAAAAGTTCAAAAGTCTCCACTTTTGCTTTTGAGGCAATGGATCGAGTTTTCAAAAATAATTCAACAACTAGTCCTTATTTCTCCCTTGTAGTCTCTTCTTCTTCTCTTTTTTTTTTTTTTTTTTTTTTTTTTTTTATATATATATATATATATTTATATATATATAGAAGCATATATATTTATCTCTTTTTTTTCGGTTTTTTTTTTTGTTTTTTTTCCGAAGAAGAAGAAGGACCTTATAAAAATTTTCGACCGAACTCCAAGGGGTAATTTTTCAAGAATCTCCACCTATTCTACCTTACACATTGGCTAAAAGAAAGAACACCTTTTCTCCGAGGCTCAAATCAAGGTTCTAAGGATAATTACGATAAAAAGGTCGGCTTGAAAGGCTCAAACAGTTCAAAGAAGGCCCAAATCATATCCCAAATCACTCACTACTCAATACTTCGTATCATAAATTTCCTAAGGTGAGTTCTAAAACCGAACATAGCATGATCTAGCATAAATTAATTCCAAATTTAAAATACAAAACATTCAACCAAAACAATGCACAAAATGTGATTCCTAGCAATAATTCGCTTCTAAGTCCCGTTGAATCGATATTTAAAAAAACATCAAATCATTATCACAAAAAACAAGCAATCTCATCATCAAACATTGATCATCTCTAATCATCATAAATCATCGATGCATTCGACTCAAGCAATTTTTTTTTCTTTTCGAAAAAAACGAGAAAAACAAGATAAACAATAAAAACGAATGAAACCTAATGCATGCAAACTAAAACAAAGAAGCACAAAAATAACATATTTTTCACTCCCAAACTTAAAATTTTCGTTGCCCTCAACGAAATTAGCACAAAGTTTAAGGATAGAAAACACCTGATTTAGTCGGAGTCGATGTGATCGGGGTGCTCCTCCCTCGCTCTCTCACGCTCATCCTCATCGGAAAGCTCGAGTACGGGCTCAAGAACGGGTGCCGGTAAAGGTGCCGGCTCGATGCTATCGGGCGTCCCGCATCCCAAGTGTTGGACAATAGCTTGTAGCATTTTGCTCGACCACCGTTGAAGTGCCTCCACCGTATTGACTTTATGCTCGACGGTAGTCAATCGGTTCCTCGTAATGATCATCTCTCGCTCCATCTGCTTTCGAAATCGTCGATTGGCACGGGAGCTTGAGGCTTCGGGCTCGTCTCGTGCTGGAAGAGCGACTTGCGGCTCGTCATGGGTGGCTTCTTTGAATAGCGAGGCCGTAAAATCGGCAATTGGCTTCCGAATGTTGAGCTCGATATCGTTTGGTAATTTGGGGACCCTCTTTCTTTTGCACAACCCCGTTACGAGGCTAGGGAAGAAGATGCCTTTTGTATTATCTTGCATTGTCCTCCATAATTGATCATACATAACGGTCCCAATATCGACGGGCTTACCCGTGATAATGTAATAAGCGAGCGCACACCGTTCGTGGTTGATCCGACTAAATGAGGTAGTCGGGATTATGTTGGCGCAAATGAATGTCAACCATGCGTTGCCTTCATAATTAATGCTCTTCCAATTTAGCTCATACGTCCCCTTGTCCGGGTATTCAATCCACATTGGACGTCCGTCACTCAACACGTCACCAATTTGCTCTTTGGTGACTTCGTTTCTCATCTTTCGCCAACTTTGTCTTAAATACGGGAGTCCGTAATATTGACTTATATCATTCGCTTCCCACTCAACATAGATGTTGCGCACTACACTTGTGGATTGACTTCGATGCTTGAATGCCAACGTGTTGGCGTAGAACTCTCGCACGATTGAGATATTGTAAATTGGCTCCGGTTCACACAACCTTTGCCATCCTCTTCTTATGATTTCTTGGTTAAGATTTGCTAAGTGTGGCAACGTGATTGTCAAGGCCCGTTCCGTGATGACGGTCTTTTTGCCTTGTTTAGTAAATAGAGCCGCGGCGCCGTCCACAATAAAGGCTTTTTCTTCGGGAAAAGGAACCGTCGTTTCGGTGGAGCCTTTCTTGCATTTGCCTTTGCCTTTGGAGGATGAAGCTTCATTTGTGCGGCCTCTTTTTTTGGACGACATATTTGGGAGTACTTTGGGAATGGAATCGGTAAGAGTTGGACGAGAATCGACCCCCAAACTTGGTTGGAGCAATTTGTCGAACACCTTGTGGGCGTGCCTTGAATGGAGTGGATTTTGTAGATGTTGGTTTGATTCTCTAGCCTCCCTGTCAATACCAACACAAAATAAGAATCGGAGAGTGTGTGAGTGAATTATGTGTGTGGAATCGAAGAATTTTTGGAAGAGAAATTC